GAATGCCTCCTCACTAGTGTTAGTTAATATCTGAAGGCATAACATACCCTCAAAGACAAGTTTGTAAACCCACATTTCTATATCCTCTTGTGTAGTAAAAGTAACTTACGATGGACAGCTTCCTGGCACATACCACTAGATCATCATTTTACCTTTATTTTACCTTTTAATGTGGCTGGCTGTGAGTTCATACTAGGAACAGAACAGTAAGCTTTCCTATTGTTTTCTTAGGTTTGCGTTATTAAGGTTCTATCTTTTGAAGATTTTTGCAAGAATAATTTAAAACCATGTGGCCATTTCATTAGATTAGACGATATGCATGAATTTATCTGAAATCCATTTATCAGATCACAGGTAAACTGAATAATTCTGTTTCTCCTTACTCACATACTACCAGGGCATTTTGTACCATTACTTTTGTGTCTTGATCTTTATGCCTTGGTGTTGGGTGAGTTGGAGCAGTAGGGTAGTTCCTGGACACATCATTTGTACACTGAGATGGTTAGCAAGTATTTAACTCTACATGAGAGTAACTGCAAACTACATGAATATAGCCCACCAAACCAAAACTAAAGGTATCCCCAAAGGCAAATCCTTCTAGCCAGATCCACAAAATGCCACAGCCACCCCAACACTACCTACTGTGAAGAGAAATATGATGGAAAGGAGTCTGTATGGAATGAAATAGGGGTCTTAACTGGTTGCAGTTAAATTATCAAAAACATATACCATGTAAATACATTACTAGAGTCCCTGCAGGGGCCTTGAAAGAGGCCCCTGCACAGGAAAGATCCTGAAATTCAAGGTTTACTAGTGTTACATTAAATATATTTTTGGGTAGAGGACTATAAATAGCAGAATTTGATAATTCCAGGTGCAAAATGCAGATTAACTTGAACTGCCCCAGAGTGATTTCCTGAAGATCAAGGCCAAGATGGTTTAATTTGCCCTTTGTAGTGACAGAACAGTACTCATTCTGGTGGGTACTTAGTAATTACTTACCTAATATTATTTTAATTAGTTTATTCTATTTCTTGATCTCAAAGCCAAACAGTTGTACATTTTGTTGTCAAATAGCATATTCTGTTACAGGAGTAAAAGGAGAATTTGTGATTTATTTACAGCCAGAGTAGACTTTTTTTTTTTTTTCAGTTTTAATTCCCATTTGTGTACTGTGATTTGTATTAGGCACTAGAAACTCTTCATGGTTTTCTGCTGAATAAATTTCTTAACACTGAGCCATGAATGTCAACTGTGTATTTCTATGTTTACCTGTAGATGAAACAGTTGAGCAGTATTGTTAGGATATTTTGCAGAAGAATTTAAAAACTACATTTGAGACTTTTTCACTGCTCTTGTTCTATGGACTTTGATTTTGGAAAGTGATGAGTCTTTAAATTTGTTCTCTAAATCTCATTTGAGATTACAGCTTATTAAAAGTTTAAAATCTTTGAGAAAGTCATAAAATATATTAATAAAATTTATAAGATATTAATCTGGCTAGGAATAATTTTAATCTGTTAATACCTGATATTATTTCTAATCCATTCCCCTCTCCCTCTCTCCCTCTCTTTCCTTTTCCCTTTCCCTTCCTTTTCCTTTTCCTTTCCTCTTTTCTTTTCTCTTTTTTCTCTTCTTTTCCTTTTCTTTTTTCTTTTTCCTTTTTTTCTCTCCTCTCCTCTCCTCTCTTCCCTTCCCTTCCTTTCCTTCTCCTCCTTCCCTCCTTTTTTCTCTCTGTTTCTTTCTTTCTTTTATTTTCTTTCCAGAAAATATCAGCTATCAAACAGATAATGGCCTGTCATTGGCCTCTCTTAATAATTCCTTGCTCCAAAAGAGGTTACTTCTCCTATGGAAAAATCAGACTTCCTTGATTTGTTATAAATGAATGCTTCAACTTTCTGGAAAGTGGTGGTTTCAGTCCATGTATTTTGAGCAGTCACCCATACTAAATGATTATGGGTATGTTATATATCAAAAATCTGTTATTACCAAAGATCTACAAAGACATTTTGAAATGAGAGGTATCTGATACTTGTATAACTTCATTGGGCGTCCTATTCATGAAAATATTTGACATACCTGATACAATTCTTCTCATGAATCAAGATTCTTTAAATGGTATTAAAAAAAATAATGAAAGAACAAGTGTCAAAGTTCTAATGAGCAAACTGTTCTTGTTTCTTTCTGGGATAAATCTTAGGTCAGTTTTGCAAAGACCCTTCTGGGAATTAGGAAGGAGTTGTTTCTTCCTCAAACTGGGATGTCAGCATGTTCAGAGAACACCTCACATGCATGAGATTTCTTTAAACTTTCCTGATTATACAGGGATTTCAGAGATTTTTGTTCAATATGTGAACAAATAGTAACTTAATTATGACACTCCTGAGAATCAATTTGAATTCACTTATCACTCACTCGACAAATTCCAAGGAAGCTCTTATAGTTTTGTTTGATCAACTGCTCAACCCTGAAAGGTCAATGGTGAGCACGTTCAGTTTCATATGTCATAGGAACTGTGTTTAGGAACTAATTCAATAGAACAAACTTCCTCAAAGTACTTACCTTTAGTTGTTACCACTGATGATATGGTAGTAGGTAGTTAAAACAGAAAAATTGGTTGAGTGGACATTTTATTTTTTTCATATCGCCAAAAGTCGGATGCTATGTTTTCTCATGGGAAATTTCTTTAAAAACATCTCTGTTCTGGGAATGGTTTTGGGATTCACACACCAAGGTTAATACAGAATGTCTTGGACAGTATTAGAGTTATTTTTAACACATGACAGAAGTCATGCTGTGGGAATTCTGAAATGTGAAATAATAATTCTCTCTGTGATCATATCTTAGATAATAAAAATAGGTAATGTCCATTCCTTATATCCAATCTTGATTTTTCACAGACCTAAAAATAGCAATTCTATCTTGAGAAATATAAATTCAGCATCAACATTTACTAAAATAAGTGAGATTTGATGTAAGAAGGGTTTGATTGAAGCAAATTAGACAGAATTAGATCTCAGTGTAGAAAAATAAGTTCAACATTCTCCTTTTTCTTCCTTTCTCATTACCCAACCCCAACTATGTAAGAGTGAAAGGAAATGAATTAAACATTAAGAAAATGTTTTGCAAATGCCAAGATATCAACAGAAGCCAGTATCCACTCTTTTAAAAAATAGCAAATATGTTACTTCTTTTCTGGTTTAACAGGAAGCACATATTTATGATAAATAATTTGCTTATGGTAGACAACTGAAGGATATAAAAATATCCCATTTAAATCGCCAACCAGAGAAAACTTCTATTATGATGTATCACTTTGTAGACATTTGTGTGTGTAAGCATATGAAAACATTGGTACTTTGCAGATATTTGTGTGTGCATGCATTTGAGAATGTTGCTGTTTAAAAAATTGACTCATATTCTTTTTGTAATATTTTTTCGCTGAATTCCAGGAGATCAGGTATCTTTGTCTGTTTTGCTCACTGACATATCCCAGTGCCTGACACATAGTAGCCATCAACAATTACTTGTTGGGACGCCTGGGTGGCTCAGTCAGTTAAGCATCTGCCTCTGGCTCAGGTCATGATCCCAGGGTCCTGGGATTGAGTCCTGCATCAGGTTCATTGCTCAGTGGGGAGCTTGCTTCTCCCTCTGCCTCTGCTTGCCACTTTTCCTGCTTGTGCTCTCTCTCTCTCTGACAAATGAATACATAAAATCTTTACCAAACAACAACAACAACAATTATTTGTTGAATTCGCTGGTACAATATGACTTTTATTTATGTGTCAGTAAATAAATAAATTAATGGCTGCATGACAGTGCATTTTAACTTAAGTAGCAAGCATACTATTGCTGGGAATTTAGATTTTTTCAAATTTTTGATGTATAAAATTGCCAGAACACCTTTTGTTCATGACTCCTTTTCTTGTACAACTTTGATTATTTGAAATAAATTTTAAAAATGGAATTATTTGAAATTCTCTATTTTTTCTATTTTTTTTAAAAGATTTTATTCATTTATTTGAGAGACAGAGCATGAGCAGGGGGAGGGCCAAAGAGAGAGGCAGACTCCCTGCTGAGCAGGGAGCCCAACTCAGGACTCCATCCCGGGACTCCCGGATCATGACCAGAGCTGAAGGCAGACACCCAATGCCTGAGCCACCCAGGTGCCCTGAAATTCTCTATTTTAAAAAGGCTTCTATAAAAATTGACTCATACCCCTTCTTCATGGAAATAGTATTTTCCATTTCCTTTGATGGACCTTCCCTCTGATATTCTCATCCAGAAGGTATTGGAGGGATTGGCCCCATCTGTGGAGCACTTCTTCAGGGCCAGAGTGAATGATTTAGGAATGGACACATAACTTAATTCAGGCCATTGAGTTGAGAAATATTTACATTTTCAGGACTATTGGGAAAATCATTTCTTGGCTCCATGATGGAAAGGAGGAAGAACACAGCTATGGAAATTGTGTGTATGGGGAGTCAGCTTTAAGGTAAAGCTAACAGCACAGAAAGCAAAGACAAGGCAGAAAGAATCTGGATTTTTGTACACTGGATCTAGTTCTTACTCGAAGCTTGGTCTACTGTGAAACTTTTCAGTTACCTGAGCTGACAAATTCTCTCCTATCTCAGTATGAGGTAAGTTTCCTATTAACTATAATATAAAGATCCTGATACGATGAATATTCCTCACAGTATATAAAGGGGTAATTTTCCCCAAATCCATTCAACATTGGTTGTCATAAATTGGCTGATTTCAGTCGAAGCCATTATGTCTCTTGTTGATTTGTGTTTATTCAACTGCTAGTGAAGTTGAACATTTTGCTTATGATCATCAGCACTATTTAATTCTTCTTTTATGATTATAGTACCTTGTGTGGCATTCCACTTAGGTTTCATGAGGTACATCAATCTCCTTCTGTCTGTTTGTTTTAATCTTTTACTTTGGAATGATTTTTGATTTGCACAAAAGTTGCAAAGATATTGCAGAGAGTTTCTGTATGCCCTTCAGCCTTCTTTCCCTCACATAACATCTCACAAAACTATGCTCCATTTGTCAGAACTACGAAATAAATATTGGTAAAGTACTATTAACTAAATTACAGACTCTTTTTGGGTTTCAACAGTTTTTCCATTAATGTTGTTTTCCTGTTCCAGGATCCAATCAAAGTTATATTTAGACCATTTTTCCTTGTTAGTGAATTTCCCTCTGAAGATCTTCAAATTCTTGCAATCAAATTTCACTTGCCTAAGTCAGTCATGAACATGCAAAGTGCTAAGTGATTTTTAACATAAAGCAGATTTGAGAAAGAACTTCCTATGATAATGCTTTCATTATTTTTGGGTTTACTGTCTAGAATACCACTCAAGTATCCGGAATGACACAGAGAAGATTGACTCTGTATTTGACTTGTCAGTAGGCTGAGTCTGTATTGTGGGTACAAGATGAATAATACAATTTTGGCGGTCCCCTCCAAATCTGCACTCACTGTGGAATAAGAGGGACTGAACTTCAAATACTAGGACATGGACCAGCTCTGTGTGATCCTGGGCAAGTTACTTAAACATTGGCTTTGGGTTCCTTGTCTGTAACCTATCACTTGATTAGGCATTCCAGACTTACATGCTTAACACGGAACACTTGATCCCTTCTCCGCCCTGTGCTTCCAGTTGTTGCCTCTCCTTAGTGAACAATGTCCCCTTCAAGCCACTGGAAGCCCAATAGGTGTCATGCACTCTTTCCTGCCTTCCTCATCTTCCACATCTGGGCATCACCATGTCCCCCCAGCTGACTGTCCCAATGATACCTCGAATTTCTCAGTTTCTCTTTGTTTCCACTATTAGTATCCCAGTTCATGTGATCCTCACCTCTTATTTGGTTTACTGCAACAGTTTCCTAATTATCCTTTCTGATGCTAATTTTACTTTTTTTTTTTTTTTTAAGATTTTATTTATTTATTTGACAGAGAGAGACACAGCAAGAGAGGGAACACAAGTAAGGGGAGTGGGAAAGGGAGAAGCAGGCTTCCCGCGGAGCAGGGAGCCCGATGCGGGGCTCGATTCCAGGACCCCGGGATCATGACCTGAGCCGAAGGCAGACGCTTAACAACTGAGCCACCCAGGCGCCCCATGGTAATTTTACTCTTATAATCCACTCACCACATTGGACTAGAATAATATTTAAAAAATGCAAATCATAGCTTGGTTCCAGTTTTTTTTTTGTTTTTATTTTTAATTTTTAAACTTTTTAAATTAAATTCAATTAACATAATGTATTATTGGTTTCAGGGGTACTGGTCTGTGATTTATCACTGTGATTCATCAGTCTTATATAACACCCAGTGCTCATTACAACACATACACTCTCCAATGTCAATCACCCTGTTACCCCATCCCTCTACCTCCCTCCCCTCCAGCAACCCTCAGTATGTTTCCTAAGATTAAGAGTCTCTTATGGTTTGTCTCCCTCTCTGGTTTATTTTTTCCTCTCTTCCCCTATGATCCTCTGTTTTGTTTCTTAAATTCCACGTATCAGTGAGATCATATGATACTTGTCTTTCTCTGATTGACTTATTTTGCTTAGCATAATACCCTCTAGTTCCATCTACACCCTTGCAAATGGCAAGATTTCAATTCTTTGATGGCTGTGTAATATTCCATTGTATATGTATACCACATCTTTATCCATTCGTCTGTCGATGGACACCTGGGCTCTTTCCATAGTTTGGCTATTGTGGTTGGTTCCACTTTTTAGCTTAAAAATTTCCAATAGCTTCTTGCTTCGCTTAGAATAAAAATCTGATTTACTTTTTGCTGCCTGAAAATCACTGCAAGATCTGGGCCCTGACTTCCTCTTAACTTTATCTCCTATAATTCTTCCCTCCACTCAGAATGCTCCAGCTACACTGGCTTTTGGTTTATTTCTTTTATTTATTTATTTATTTATTTATTTATTTATTTATTTATTTATTTATTAAAGATTTTATTTATTTATTTGAGAGAGAGAATGAGAGAGAGATGGCATGAGAGGGGGGAGGGTCAGAGGGAGAAGCAGACTCCCTGCTGAGCAGGGAGCCCGATGCGGGACTCGATCCCGGGACTCCAGGATCATGACCTGAGCCGAAGGCAGTCGCTTAACCGACTGAGCCACCCAGGCGCCCTGGTTTATTTCTTGAACAAGTTTCACTTGGTGCAGACTTAGGGCCTCGTGTCCTTGCTATTCTGTCCCCTGGAATATGTTTCCCTTAGGCTACTTCAAGGCTGGATTTTTCGCATTATTGAAGATCCCTTCCAGCTTAAGGAGGCCCTTCCAATTTGAAATTTTAATGGTGTATATTTGCGTATTTATTTTCTCTTCTTCTGTCTTCTCCTCTGAAGTGTAAGCTCCATGAGGGCAGGAATGGTGTCTGTATTCATCTGTCTCTTTGGTCCTAGTACAGTGAGCAGGACCTAACAAGCTTTCAACAAATGTCTGTTGACCGAGAAATGAAGGATAAAATGATGTCAGTTTACCTATTTGAGAACAATTCTGCTGAAGTTGGAAGGATAAAAGGGAGAGAAAATAGGACTTTAAAAAAATGTATATAAGACTTGCCTCCTAGATTTTTCACAATATACCTGATTTAAGCTGCTACTTTATGACTAATGAGCGGACTTCCCTTCTGTGGTTGTTAACATTTTAATATTAAAACTGAATTCCAGTTCCTACTATTTGTTTACTTATATCCTTCTTGATTTTAAAAGAGGCTTTAATGCTGGTTCCTGCTGCTATCATCTTCCTCAGGGATACCCTGCATCCCCCCCCACACATGTGTATGTGTGCATGAGTGCAAGTTTATGATTTCTAATGAAACATCACTTTGGACGTTATTGGTTATAGGCAGAGTTGAGAGTTGTATCTAATGGCTTCCGATAATCAGAAAATGTTATTATCACAATAGGCATCTTTAATATATTTTTGTTTCCATGAACCCTGTTAGGTAACTAACGGTGCTTGAAATAGCTTAAGATATTGAGAGGATGTTGGTCTGGAGACTTCTTCTGTATCTACTGGCCTTCAGGCCTCATGCCAGGCACTGACAATATTGGGTGAGAAAACACAGAATTATTTTCTGCCTTCATGTAGCTTACAGATAATAGGAGGAAATGGGCATTTATCACAGAAGCACATGAATCCCTGGCTGCAATCAGAGACACATGCTGGGAGAGAACAGCTCGGGCTGTTCTCAGAGTGAAAGAATTTAACTTTCTGAGAGGCAGGGTATGGCCAAGGTAGGCAGATGATCTTACTGAGGAAGTTGCCTGAGACCCGGAAGTACCAATGGGAGGTATTAGGTGGATGGGGTGTGAATGGGGTGGGGTGGGCATTAAGGGCTTTGGGAAGTGTGGAGAAATTTCTGGACAGACAATAGCATGTGCAACATCTTTGGGGAGTGAGGGAGGCACGGGCTAGGATGGCAAAGTGAACAGACAGTGAGAAAGAGGAAGAGGAAACTTCCCTTCAGGAGAACCTGAAAGGCTCGAAGAAGTGGATGAGAGATCCCACTGAGTGTTGAGTCTGGGGACTTGGGGTGGAAACATGTGTGCATGTATTGGGGACATGGAAAAGCACTTTTCAATTTTATTTGAGGTCAGCCTTATCCTTATATCCACTAGATTTTCTATTACAAATTCCATACATCCTCCCCAAACACATAATGTCAGTCTAGTCATGAAAAAAATATCAGACAAAACCAAATTGAGCGACATTCTAAGAATAACTAACAAGCACTACTCACAACTGTGACGGATCACAACTGTGATGCTCACAGGTCTTTTGCAAATGAAGGAAGTCTGAGAAGCTGTCAGAGCCAAGAGGAGCCTAAGGGGATATAACAGACCAATGTAAAATGGTACCCTGGATGGGATTCTGGGGCAGAAAAAGGACATTAAGGTAAAAGCTAAGGAAATCTGAATAAAGTACAGACTTTGGATAATAATCACCAAGGGGTGGAAAACTGTCCATTCGTTTAGTGTTTGGCTTCTAATTGACACCCCTCAGAGATGGATATTGCCGGCTAGGAGTCAATAAGGAGCAGGAAAAGACAAGAGCTAGAGGTCACATTTGGGTTTCCAATGGGGTAGTCTTCTAGAGGACATATTTTCAGATTTTTCTTATTATTAACCAACAGCTTCTCTTGGGATTAGCCTCTCCCATCGAACCCAAAAGTATTTGCACTCTTTTTCTCCTTATCTTCTCCAAAGAAGTGTGAACAAGTAGACACCACCACAAACTACTCCCCAAGCTCCCGTTCACTGTTCAGCCTGCAGCACTCTGCCGTCACCGTGACCACTGACTGACAGGACTGTCTCTGAGGTCACATATGACTTCTTGCAGATCAAATCCAGACAGTGCTTTTAAGAATGTATTGCATAAAAATTCCAGCTCCATTTCATAATCAAGAGCTCTGTACTTATTCGAAATTGTCCTTGCTTTCTACTCTCTGTATTCTTCTCCCACCTGTCTGGTCACTCTTTCTCAGTGCCCTTCTTTCCTCTTATCCTAAAGGTGTTGTTTCTCAAGATAATGACTTGGGCCTTCTTCTCTTTGTGCTCTATGTATTTTTCCTGGATGGCCTCTTGCTTATGTTGTCAGCTATACATAGATACCTCTGAATGCATGGTCTAGTCTGAACGTTCCTCCTGAGATCTCCACTGGAACTTCTGACTGCTTTTCAGATATTTGTACCTGAATATCACATGGATCATCAACACACTTGTTCTTCATAGAATTTATCCCCCTTATACCACATCCTCAAACCTATTCCCATTCTTGAATTCCTAATTTCATTTGCTGATACTGCTATTCAACCAGTCCCCAAGCCCAAAAGATAGGGACAGACCACTCATTCCCTTTCACCTTCTACATCCAATCTGTCACCAAATCATGTTGATTCTACTTCCTGTATCTTTTCCTCTGTATTTAAAAAAAAAAAAATACAATTAATACCTACTGGTTATTAAGAGTTATGCAATTTAGAAATATATAAGGAATAAAAAGATAAAATCCCCCTTCCATTTCTCTTGTCCATAAATCCTAGCCTGCATGATGAAACTGTCTACATTCCAAAGAAATAGCTTCCCATTGGCTCGCCTTTGGGTCTAGTGGTATCCACAGTCACAGCGTAATCAGCTCAGGTAAGATGGGCTCAGAGAAGCAGACCAAACAGTCTCTGAATGTGGATCCCAGTTAATTCTGTCTGAGGTACCCAGAGCATGATGTAAGACGGTGATCATAGATTTTAGGTGGCTATGTGTTGACCATGGAAGGGAGAGAGGGTAGTTCCAGCCTGATAGAGGGGGGTGTGGCTAGAGGAGGCAAGCGGGGCCTGCAGAAGTGCAGGGCCCAGGACAGGAGAACCTCTTGCTTAAGGGTAGTACTAGTTCCTAATGTAGAATCAGGTTTCATGTGAATTAGTTCAGATATGCACAGGGCTGAGACTCTAGATCGGTTTTTTTCTTCATGAAATATTTGAGTTGTTACTATAAACTGGATCCTATGCATGTATTGAAGAATCAACTGGTGAACAAGACACAGCTCCTGTCTTCAGGGAGTTCTCGTCCATATGAGGTATGTGTTTTCAGGTTGGTCTTTGCAATGTGGCTGTGCAGGGAGCAACTGACATATTAATACGGATCATTTAGTGTTGATTATATTTCTATGACTATTCTAAATAAATGTTATATTGCTAATATCAGAATAAAATTTTGTAATTATTACAGAGTTTAAAGTAAATTTATAGTCTATTGTTATTCTTAGGTAACTTTGATCTTCAAGTGAAACTGGGCTTCCTTTCAAGACCACTGAGGTCCATTATTTAGAGTGCACTGCCCTCTGGTGGTTAAAGTACAGCATTTTTTTTTTTTTTCAGTTTACCCTAGGTTCCCTGAAAAGACCTATGGGTCTTTTCTTTATGATGAGATTTTTGACATTCTTAATTTTCTCGTTAAGACTTATTTTTTTAACTTTTTATTTAAATTCCAGTTAGTTAACATACAGGGTAATATTAGTTTCAGATGTACAATATAGTGATTCAACACTTCCATACAAAACCAGGTGCTCATCACAGGGGCCCTCCTTCATCCCCATCACC